GCCAGTGCCCAGCTGTGCTGCTAGGGAACATCACTGCATCACAGCCCCCGCAGGCAGCAGTGGGGGGCTGCCTCAGGAGCAGGCCTCTTCCGATGCCAGCTGCTTTGCCCTGCACGCAAGAGTCCAGGACACCCGAGCTGATGTGCTCTCCCCTCCGATTCAGTTCTTAGATCACCTCTCCTCCTGTCCTCAAGGAGGCTGCCCTGACCACCAGGGTGAAGTGTTCACACTGTGGTGGCCTCTGCATTTCCTTCCTGGAGGTGCCACACACTCCACAGTTGCCTGGCTTGCCCACTGATTCTCTGTTGTGTGCCTTCCCAAGGGTCCTAGGCCAGGAGGACCAGATCCCAATCTGTCTTTGGTTCCTAGCATTTAGAATCAGGTCTGTGCACAGTAGGTGCTCAGCAAATATTTGCTGGATGAGCGGATGGATGGGGGAGCTGGCAGGCAGGCAGGCTCTTTCTGAGTGCCCTGTTGGCACCACTCAGCCCATCTGGGGTCAGAAATGCCATTGAGAGCTGAGAGCTGAGCCCTGGTGTGGCTCTCACAGTAACCCGAACCCCACAGCCATACACAAAGCGCCCGTGCCTCGAGGGAGTGGAAGGTGAACACATTCTCCAGACACCTTGGATTTGTCTCAGAGTATGAATTTTTCTGGAATGAGGAAGAGTACAGGACCATCATCTCCAGCCTCTGACCTTTCTTCCTCCTTGTCTACCTCTGGATCTTCGACATTCAAGCCCCCAGCTCTAGGGCTTTGAGAAGCCTGGCTGTGATCTCTGGCCAGGGCTGCAGCTCTCCCATGTGTCAGAGTCGGAGCACAGAAGATAAAGTACGTATTGCATGTTGAAGGGATCGAATTTGCCCGTGGTGGCCACTTGGGTCCCCCCAGGTGCCTCTGTCTACAGAAGCTGCACACAGTTACTGCACAGGATGGGCTGTGGGGGAGGGACAGATAGGATTCTTGACATTTCTGGGCTGTGCACACTGTCTCTGGTCCTCCACATCCATGTCCTCCTCTTCTTGACTGTCAGTGGCCTCATCAGAGCCTTTCCTTACTATGGCTTCATAGTGGGGTGGGGTGAGCTCCAGGGGATTCGCCCCCAGACTCCTAGTGTGGGCAATCTGGGGTGCCTCAAGGTCTGGTCAGGGCACAGTGAAGATCAGTTCTAGACACGGAAAAGCCACGTGGGTGAAGCAGACCTCCAGGCAGTCAGCATCTCGAAGTGGAAAATAAAACAAACAAACAGTGTTTCTCTTTGTTTAATCCATTTTCTATTTCGGTAAAAGGGTAGCCCAGACTGGTAAATTACAAACAATAGAAGTTTAGTTGACTCGTGGTCCTGGAGGCTGGGATGTCTGAGAGCAGGGCACCAGCATCGGGTGGGGACCTCTGTTCTGTGCCATGAAATGAAACACACCGGAGACCAGGAGGAAAGGAAACCAGACTCACCCTGCTCCTCGGGCACCCACTCGAGTGGTAATCATCCTGCTCCTGCAGCAAAGCATTGATCTGTTCCCGGCCTGACCATACCATTAGATGGCAGGCGTTAGATGTTCACATGGGTCTCAGAGGGACTATTCTGAGCAAAACTTCTCTCAAGGGGCATTGAGGGCACAGTCTTTAAGAAGGGAGCACGCTTAAGATTTCTTGGGGTCAAGAAACCAGTTAGAGAAACCAAGTAGGGCTTAAGAAGCGAAATAAGCCAATTGGGCTCTGGCTTGTGGTCAGCCTCAAGGACGGACAGTGCCTGGGTTTCCCGTCCCAGCTAAGTGAAGACAGCTTTCCCTCTCTGGGACCCGTCTCAGGATGCACCCCCTCAAATGCCTTCGCCTGGTGCCACAGACTTTTGCCTTCCACACTCACTGACAGAGCGACACCACCTGGACCCGCGTTTATAGCAGTGCTGGGTCTGTGACACTCTTGTCCAGAGCCCTCACCTGGATCATCAGCCAGGGAGTCATTAGTACCAGCTGGTACAAATGGACCTGTTGCTCCCACCGCCATCACTGTAATGTAACAATTCCCACTTCTATTCGTGTTCCGTAAATTTAATTAGTGTTGAAAAGCAGCTTATTTGGCAAGATGATCAGTTTTTAACCTGGGTAAACGACTTCCTTTATGATTGTAAATTAAGCGTGTTGTGTCTTTGTCATGCATCACGGTTGTCCCCATAAATACTGTAGGCTGTTGCCTGTGGTCTCACTTGGTTACCTTTCCCATTACTGTTTGATCACATCCCAGTAGGAGTGGGGAATTCATTCCTTCTTAATGACAAAGCGGAAGTGGTGGCAAGGGGCTTATTTCAGCAGGAAACTGTGCCTTGGTCAGCGCCTCTGTGGTTAGTGATCAGATTCTAGCCCTGGCCCTGCATGGGACGTTCTCAGTTTTGCATCAGGCCAGCTTTCTGCAGCCTTTGTAAAAGGCAAGTGCAGGGATGGAAAGCTGCTTTTGTCTTAATTGCAAATAATTAGGAATCAAATATTTGCCAATGGCAGCTGATTCCCAGGCCAGAAAGAACATGAGTATTTGTAATGACTTCCCTGGCCACGGGTGAGCACAAGTGTTTTCTTAACACTGACCCTCAGAGCAGCCCAGGGGGAGGGCCGAGGGAGTCCAGCTGTAGGCTATTCAGTGTGGGCACACAAGGCATGTGTGATGCTAGTCCTCAGAGGTGATCACTGCAACCTGTGTATGCAGCAGTGTGGAGGAGAAGGAAGAGAAGGAAGAAGAGGAGGATGAGGAGGGTGGACACAGTGGAGTCCCCACCTGCCATGAGCTGCCTCTAGCCTGACTGCCTGGCTGGATTCGGCGGTCTCTGAAAGTCCTGCTCTGCCCTGCCTCTCTAGCACCACCCAGAGACACGGCCACAGACCCACCTCCATTCAGCCCTCTGTCCTGCATTTCCCTCCCACCCTTGCAGAGCATGCAGAAGAAGTCCCCACAGAAGGTCAGTGCGCACGGCCCCCCACCCATCCCAGACCCCAGCCCAGCGCTGCAGCCAAGGTGCTTGCGCAACATTGCAGAGCTCAGTGCTGACACCTCTTGTGTTTGTGAAAATGTAAGCATTCTGGAGCCACTGAGGACAGAGACCCAGCACCTGTGGTGCCAACGCTCTGGGGCAGGGGACTCACTCTTGGGCTTGTGCCTCCTAAAAAGAAGCACTCCCAGGAGGAGCTGGAGCTGCTCAACTAGAGAGCTACGGGAGAGCAGTTCGGGGAGGAGCACAGCCAGGACAAACCCACCCACCCTGCAGCAGGGGAGGCTGGAGACAAGACTTCTTGACTCCAGAGCCAGGCGATTAGCTGGTTCCCCTCCTGCCTGCACAAGAAATTTATTAAAACTGGATCCAATGGCAAGGTTTGTGCCCTCAGCTTGTCTTGGGAAGGAAACAAAGGCTGATATTTTTAGAGCTGTGTTAGTGTCTGCTCGTGGCCGCCAGCACTTGCTGGGCAGACCCATTTCCTGACAACCCAAGAGAATCCCACTCATCAAACACACTCTGTAGCAAAGCGGCCAGAAGCCCAGAGCCTGCCCTGCCAGGAGCCTGCCCTCGGCTGCCTTCCCTTCCTGCCCACCACCTGCCAGCCCCGACAGGAGGCTGGCACAGGGGCCAGGGAATGCCAAGGAGCCTTTGAGGTGACAAGTGAACAATTAGCAAAGCAGATTCAGGGGGCTCGTGTGTCCTGCCCGGGCTCCGCACTTTCCCGCTGCACAGATATATGTTGACCTTCTAGTTTATTACGATTCAAGAAAAAGTCAATATTTCTTAGTTGGCTAGGGCTGGAGGAATTTAAATGAGTTACTGAGTCAAACAGTTAATCTTTCTCCTTTCAAATCTGTACCGATGAAAAAGCAGACTTAACCAAAAACAAAAAGGGGATTCTTTTTCTTTCTTTCTTTCTTTCTTTTTTTTTTTCTTACACATTTTCAGCCCATGGGGTTGGGTCCTACTAGCTCACTGAGTGTTTTGAGGATGAAATTAAGTTTTACAGCAAAGACTTCTGTGACCATAAAATCTGCACTCACGTTTTACTGATTGATGCCTTGCTTTCTCTTGGTGATTCTTTAACTTTGCACGTGTGGCCATTCAGGCATCCAGGTCGTGGGCTGCTCTCCCGGACTCCCCTGTGGAGTTTGGAGGAGCGCTTGTGTGGTGCTGGTCCCAGGTTCCTGCCCGGCCTTTCACTTAGTGGTGCCTCTGCAGAAATGAGCTGCCTGCCAGCTGCTCTCCTGCTCGGTGCGGGCCCTGAAGTCCCTGTGGCTGTGTGGTGGGTGCAGGAGGCACCCAAGCAGGGTGGCCCCTGCATTTGCTGGATCTCAGCCTTATTCACAGCCACAATACTGTGCTCCTGTGCTAGAAAAGACTGGGGATCTGTCTGCCTCAGGGGATGATCGTTGTCATGGATAACTGTTCTCCCTCACCCCGAACACTCAGGAAGCATCTCCTTGTGCTGTACCCGCCCCAGACCCTGAAGAGGCTCCGGTGCCGACAGTGTCAACCCTGGATTCTTCTGCTGGTTTCTGATCTGCTACAGTTACACCTTGGCCCCATTTCTCCTTCCTTTGTTGAAAACTGCTATTCCTGTTTGATTTCCTAGCTGAGACGTGCTGACACTCCTGGAATGGATCCTGGAACCTGGACCACTTGCCTCATAGAAAGCCCTCCTCCTCCAGGCCCACGGGGTCTCTGGGTCCTCACCTCCTCTGGAGCCCAAAGCTCTGTTTACTTCTCTAAAAAGTAGCCTCTGGGCTCCCATAGCTGTCTGGGTTCAGCATGGGCAGGTGTCATGTCTGAGATGTTTGGAGCAACTGAGTCCTAACACTTGCGTTCCGCACAGCAGGACGCCCTGCTCAGCACCAATGGCCAGCTCTTGGCAGGCACGGGGACAGGGACTCCCCTGAGTTCCATGGCCCTGGCTCTGATGAGCTTCGGCCCATGAGGAAACCAGCAGCCCCCCCTGCTGCCCAAGTCTGACTCTGCATTTGTGTCCCACAGGGCTTCCTGGGCACGGGCCACTGGCGTCCTGCAGGAAGAAGTCGTGTGGCCGTGGGAGCCGATGTGTGGTCAGCCATGAGACTGGGGAGCCCTCCTGTCAGTGCCTGGAGGCATGCAGGCCCCGCTACCTGCCCGTGTGCGGCTCCGATGGGCGGCTCTACGAGAACCACTGCGAGCTCCACCGGGCTGCCTGCCTGCTGGGACGGAGAGTCGTTGTCATCCCTAGCAAGGACTGTTTCCTCAAAGGTAGGGAGAGGACTCCGTTGCCTTGTGCTTTTGGATTCTGTGATGCATATAGAAGCACAGAGAAGGACGGGTGCTTTCACCAGCAACAGTGGCATTTCACCTCTGTCTAACCCTGCCCCAGAGACTGCCGCCCCACCCCTGTGCCCTTGGAAGAGGCTCCTTGGGAGCAGAATTCAGGGACATCAAAGCAAACCTGGCTGGGACAGAACGCAGGTCCCACTCTTTGCCTGCGATAGCCCCTGGCTGGGTGGTGACAGTGGCCACATTTACCCTCCTGGACAGAGTCCCGTGAGTCAATGCATACAGTGTGGCCAGAAGGGCACTGGCACAGTGGTCCCCAGCATGGCAGGGACTCCAGCTATGTCTGGAGAAGTTGCTGCTGGAAAAGCATCCATGCCTTCCCTGTGTGGCACGGTTCTGAGCCAGACCAAGAAGCCGTGGCATGGACATCAGCTTGTGTCTATGGAGACGGGGTCAGGGGACTCGTGCTTCGTGCTGGGATTGCGTGGGAACAGAAGGGCAGCATCGTTTCCCAGCAGATGAGAGTCATGTGGCAGTGAAACGGCACCATGTCCTCTACACGCATCACTTAGCCAGGTTCCCTGTACCACAGAGATGCTCAGTGGCTCACAGGCACCCGTGGGCGTGAGTTAGAACGTGCATCCTGGGCTGGCACTGGCCGGACAGCGAGTGTTTACTGTGGCCCATAGACAAATTCAGTATCCTGAAACAGAGTGCGCATGCATGTGTAAGTTAGGCAAGGCATAGAAGGCAGAAGCCGAGGATGAGCAGGGGGAGCAGGCCCACATAGCCTGGGCCGGGGACGTCGCAGGTGGGAGATCCCCGCTGTGGTCACACATGATCGGAGAGCCGCTTGTGGGGCAGGGAAGAGAGAAGGTTCAGGAGACAGTGAGGGCCACCACGTACCTGTAGGGTCTTCTGTGCAGTCCGCAGCTGTGAGGAGGTGGCTGAGCTCAGCCTGGGGTCACTGTCCCCATCCTGAACGTGACTGCCCCCGCAGGTGCCCGGGACACGAGGGAAGTCCCAGCCGAGGAGGGAGCACAGGGATGAGTCTCCATCACCTCTGCTCTGCTCTGTCGCCCACACCCCTCAATGGGCCCCTTCCTCCCCCTCCGTGGTGGGCGCCTAGCTCCGATGGAAACAGTCTCAAGCACTTTCACGGCTGTGCTTATGATGCTAATGCCGAGGTGCTTCAGAATCATGAGACACATTACGGAAATGAGGCCAGAATGGGCTGAGGACAAATGTCCCCAGTCTGGAAACACTGCTCAGCCCCATGCCTGCCGACTCCTTGGCAACCGTGCACACTAAAACACTTGACCAGTTGCTCCAGCTTTATTGGCCATGTTGAATTTTATAGACTGATGTTCCATTCTCTGGTTTCCAATATCTCCCAAATTGCATCTTTCTGAAGGTTTTTATTTCTGCATCACAGTGCGTACGGCCTCCCTCACCATTGGTTATTCAAACAGCATTTCTCATTTCACGCGAGGGAAAGAACAACCATCACAAAAGCCGCCACCCTGAGGGATGGTGGGGGCAGGTGCCAGCCGCTCAGAGCTCGGGTCTGCTGCAGGCTGATTGAATTCACCCACCGAATCCTTGGGGTGCACAGATTCTGTGAATTGCCCTGTACTCAGAGGCATGGGTCTGCGCCCCTCAAAATCCTCCTTCAAGGCCTCTGCGCTCCCCACAACAACGAGGGTGACGTCACCGAGGTGGCATCCAGGCTCCTCTTCTCCCCAGCAATGGTGGCCCTGGGGGAAGCCTTTTCCTCAGCTGTAAAATGGCCTAGAGGCCATCCCGGCCAGCTCTGGGTGCATTGAGGAGCACAAGGGAGATGCTCAGCTCACACAGCACCACACCCGGCGAGTTGCGTGTGTGTGTGTGTGTGTGTGTGTGTGTGTGTGTGTGTGTGGCATTAATCCTCAGTGCCACCATGTCTCCTTCTACTCCAGCACAACCACAGGCCTAGAGAAGAGAGGTATGAACAAGGAGGATTTTGGGGACACCTGGGATGGCTCTCCAGTTGGTCCCTGGAGAGGGTACAGCAGGTCCTGAGTGTCTGCCTCGCATCCTGGAGACGCCCGTCTGGAACAGGGGCCTCCTTCCCAGCCTCCCAGGTCTCCGCTTCAGTCCCAGGAGGCAGAAGCCCTGAGCCTCTTCCTCTGGCGTCCTGCAGGGCATGCCCAGGGCCTTAGGAGATAGCAGACAGACGGCCATAAGGGGAGCTTGGGGGCCAGCGCTTCTCCACCTCACCAGAGCCACAGACCCCTGGGGAACAGGGGGAGCAAGTGACAGAGGCTTGCTCAGGAGTCAGGGGTGACGGGGTTCTCGGGAAAGAGAATGAAGGACAACTTCCTGCTGTGCCCTCCTCACACTGGCGGCAGCAGGTTAACGCCAGCTCGAGCTCCACGATGACAATGTGTCATTTGTCCCAAATTTCCTGTTTTAAAACAGGAAATGCAAAATATCTATTTTCCAACTTTATCTCTTTTTTTTGTCCCAGGGGTTGAACTCACGATCTTGCGCTTGCCAGGCAGGTGCTTATGCCACCGAGCTGAATCCCCAGCTGTAAATGCCTATTTTCCAAGCAGACAAAACCATTTAAGATTGTCCATCTTCCAATCTCTGTTCCTACTAGATTTTACAAAGAGAACTTTGGGTTTCACTCTTCAGGATTCTGTCACACCCGGGAGCCGATATGAGGAGTGTCCTTTGGGCTGGAGTGTGCAGGGCAAGGGGGATAAAGTGCTGGATGGTGCTGGGCCAGCCCACCCTGGCCAGAGCCCCTGGCCCCTGAGGAGAGGCTTCTGCTGGGGACCGGGGAGAGACACATGACACTTGCCAGTCTGCGTGAGAACAGAGGCAGCGTTCTAAGCCCATGTATAAGAAAATTTCTGGTAGGGGCTGGGGATTTAGCTCAGCAGCATAAGTGCCTGCCTTGCAAGCAGGCAGTCGTGAGTTCGATCCCCGGTACCGATAAAAAGGAAAGAGACAAAAAAAAAAAAAAAAGAAAGAAAGAAAGAAAGAAAGAAAAAAGAAAACTTCTGGTATCACATTCCAGTTGCTATGGCAATAGGGTTCCTCGTGATACAGGATGGAATCAGTACCATTTAGGAACATTAGCATGTGGACCCAAAAGCATGGCTGCAGCTCACTTGCAGCTTTGATCTGGGTCTCTGTAGACAGAAGCAGGAGAGAAAGCCAAGGGCCAGGAGGGATGTGGGGGAGAAAGGCATTCCTCCTTCTTGGGCAAAATTAGCCACACTTTTCCTGGGCACCAAAGAGAATGCCAAGACGTCTAGTGGCTTCACTGCTTCACTTTGTATAGTTTGCATTTGAAAAGTTCTCGCGACACCACATTCCTGTTTCCATGCTAGTTGCTTTAAAAATCGTTTTTTCTGATTTGATTTCCAATTCACGCTCTGTCTCCGATGCCTCTCAGGAGATGAGCTTGTGCCTCACCATGCCCTCACCTCACATGGCTGTGGATACCTGGTGGTGCAGTGCTGGAGCTGGGCAGTTTTCCAAACAAACCGTGAGATTTGGAAGGAAAGAGACTGGTGGAGGTTTGGTGTTAGGTGGACCCTTTGTTTTTTTGTTTTTTTTTTTTTTTTTTTGTCTTTTTCGTTTTTACCGGTACCAGGGATCGAACTCACGACTGCCTGCTTGCAAGGCAGGCGCTTATGCCGCTGAGCTAAATCCCCAGCCCCTAGGTGGACCCTTTGGCTTCCTCAGCCTGAATGAGTTTGCAGGTGTTTGCAGGTGTGTCCGGGGCGAGTCCCCAAGGTAGCAAACTTAGGAGCAGTTCCATTTACAAAAAAAAATCAAAGAAGCTACCGATTTACCAACCGTTATTTATTTATTATTATTATTACTAAACAGGAGTAAGAGCTTAGCAGTCTGTTGCAAGCTACCAGAGCAGATTTTGTCTTGCTATTTTGTTGCTGTTGTTACTTCCAATCTTGGTGTTTGAAGAACTTAAAGTAGTCTCTGTACATCCCAGGGGGGCATTTTTAGACTTCTGCCAGATGATTCTGTTCTGCCAGGGAAAGCTGCTCACACCCCTGGAGGTGCCAGGCTACTGGCGGTCCTCAGCAGGATGTGGGGTCTCATCCCATGTGGCACAACAGGGGTTTGGTTTCTCTGCCAGTCCTGTCCCTGCAGCAAGGAGGCCAGGCTGACCCGGTAGGGGGCCGGCGAGGGTGGGTCCTCAGCACACCTGCTCGGACAGGGCTCCTGTGCCTCGCTTACTTTGTCTGAGATGGGAATGCCAGCACCTACTTCACAGAGCATCTCGATCAAGGAGGAGCCAGGCCTGCACATGGCCATCTGATGGTAGCGGGAGGCTGGGGACAATGCATGAGGTCACTGCCAACATGGCTCCTCTTCAGGGGGCCCAAGCAAGACACCATGAGGCCCTGCCTGCAGTGTGGGGATGTGGATTAGAATGAGAGGTGATGGGGTATCCCATGCACAAGGGCCAGGAAGCACAGTAGCCTCCGAGCTTACTCAGTGGCCAGCATCTGAGCTCTGGGTGGTCGTGTGCAGTCACCACCTTCTCTGACGGCCGCATCTGCAAAGAGCAGTGGAGCGAGTCACCCAGACGTGCGTGAGCAGAGAAGCCAGTGTTTGACAAGCTAGGCCAGCTTCCTCGTTTCCAGAGGGGCACCAGGAAGCCAGGGCAGGTCTGTTCCAGGCTGGAGTCCTAAGACACAGCCACACCCAGGACCCAGGGTCTGCCAGTGCTACCCCCAAGAGGTGTGGTGATGACCCCTGTAATCCCAGAACTCCAGGAGGCTGAGGCAGGGGAAGCACAAGTCCCAGCTCAGTCTGAGCAACTCAGGGACTTAGGGAGACCCTGCTAAGGAAGGAAAACAGGAGAAAGGTAGGGGAAGAGGAGTGGAAATAGGGAGAGAGGGGAGGAGAGGGATGAAGGGAGGAGAGGAGGTAGGGAGGAAGAGAGTAGGAGGAAG